ACTGCGTAGTACCTTACTACGGATACTTCGTACTGCGGACTGCTATTGTTATGCTGCCGCAAACTTTGGGTGCGCGTTCTACCTTGTTGAAGCCCAAGCCCCAAACCAGGACCAGGAGCTTGGACCGTGCAATGACGTAGGAGTCTCTCATCAATATGAGGCATTCGCAAATAGACCAGCTGTCATTACCTTAATTACTGTATCGCTGTGGCCATCGTCAGGAAATAACACATCCAACTATAATTGCCCGCTTGACATGATCGGATGTTAAAAAGATGTGACAGCACATCTGCTCACCAAGATGGTTGTGGTGGCTTGCAGCCGTAGCGTACTAATGCCGATGTCCTCGCGACAATCAGATAGACGTTGGACGAAACTAAATCTGTGTTGGCTCGACTGCGGCAATCGCCAAGTAGTTGGACGAATGAAAGCCATGCCCATCCAAAGTCAATGGCTTTGATGGCCCCTTCTGGGTCTCGTACTGCGTGCAAATCCAACCCTTGTCAATCCAGTGCGGCCATTTTGGCTGTCGTCGTTGTCCAACTTCATCGTCGACTCGTAGCTGGCAACGTCGCTTGGGAGGCCCTACCTAGCGGCTCTCACATCTCGATTCCGGGAAGGGAAGCCACAGAACCAGGAGGCAGATCCTACTCTGCTGTCATGACCCGAGGGTTGACGGACCCAGGCAACAGCAACCGGTTCGCGCGATGACTCCACTTGGTTGTTAACAAAGAGCACCCGCTCATGGGGATTGGTGTCATGCTGTGCCTCCATCAACTACTGTACTGTACTTGGCCCGCCTTGCTAATGTAGTGTTGCTGCGATACTTCGTAAACGACTTTGTGGTCCTGGAGAAACACCAACTTCACATTGGCGAGCTCCAGGCTCCACCCTCTCGGCACCCCCCTCAACGAGACGCGAGCCACAACCACGACTCCTGCTGGGCTCATTGCCCCGCACTTGGCCGTTTCCTCCACACATGGGAACGTCGTCATAGGATCTTTCGGACAAGTCTCTTTGGCGGGGTTGGGGCCCTAGAGGGTACAAGGCAGTGTCCAAGGAGGAGTGGGAGGATCCAGCAGCACAGGAACCCGGAGCCACAGCAAATGCAGAGTCTCCGTGGACACTGGAGAGAAAGTTCCAAAAGTCCATATCTGGGTTTCCCTGAGACCTTTGCCTATCCCATGGACGGTGAGATGCGCAAAATCCCTCTGCTTTCCCCTTTTCTCTCACCCCTTCTCTGCTGTTGGCCGCCCGCAGCAGGGCACGCACCAAGGCAAGCCGCAAGCCGCAAGCCACGGAAGCTCTGACCATTGACTAGTACCAGCTTTATCCCTTCCCATCAATCCAGGCATCCCCTCCTCATCGTAGCTCGGCGAGGTTTAACCCAGTGACTGCATCCCTGCTCTTGCATGTCCAGACGGCCGAACAGACTGTCAGAAACGACCGGAACGTCCTGGACTCCATTCGAGTGCAGAACAAATGCGGCGGGCGAATCCCAATATAAAAGAAAGCATGATGTGAAAACTCTTTGTCCACCCACAGCGCCGTCAGAACAGGGGGCTCTGCAAATCCAGGCTACCCGCAGCATAGACTGGATACTTGGACCTGGAATCGCTGGACATGTTGCTGGCAACTAGCTGCTGCCAAATTCGCCGTCAAGCTGCTTGAGATGTAGAGAGAACGCATTCTGAGGTGGTATGTAGATGAGTCTGCCATCCTGCAGGTAGCAAAACCTCCATTGGCGGTCGGATGTGGCGACTATGAACTGCAAGGTTCAGCAGTTGTCTTGACACTGTCTTGATCTTCCAAACTGGAAGCGTTGCTGTCACTTCCAGTCTAGCTGTGTCGAAGGTGACATGTCGTTTCCAGGAATGGCTGACACAGGGGAATCTGTTCTTCTCTGCCTTGTTGAGATCTAGTCGATTTCACAGTGAACATCGAATCTTACGCAACGAACGATCAAAACGTCTTTGTGCGGCTTCTGGGAGGCGGGCAGAGCCATTGGGAGCGTGGCGGGCCACGGAAGAAATTGAAGTCGGGTTGGAAGAACCGTGCGAGTGCCTATTGGACCCTGCAGAATCGGGGCCGCGCAGCAGGTTGGTCTTGAGGCGCATTGGTAGCCGGCTACGCAAGATACTAAGGTAGTGCGTGCCTTAATCACATCGACTTGTCGCGCGTCGTGTACTAGGATGATACACGTAGAAGACCCAGCAGGTCAGCTGGCCAAAGGTACCCGGCAGTACCCTAGCGAATGACAGCGGATTAGTGGACACGGCCCGTTTTGGTCCAAGGTACGGCAGCGAATGTGGGATGAGCAATCCTCGAGGGCCGGGAAGAGAGGGGGTTCTGGCACGTACATGATGGAAGCGTTATGGTCATGATGGAGGCTGAGAAGATGAAAGGGAGTTGACTGCTTCGGTATCTCAACGGTAGATGTTGAGTAAGTATCCGTCAGGTAGGCAAGTACCTTAAAGCAAGCACGGCAAGACAGGCACGATAGTACCTACCTTACTTAGGGGAGGCAGGGGCAGTCGCTACCACCTCTCCTTACCTTACAGACAGTCCGTCGGCATCTCGAAGAAACTACCGGCCTATTAGGTAAGGAAAGTCTCCGTACGCGTGAGGAGGCAAGTAGACTGTTTCTTGGGTTCTTCATCCTCAACCACTAGGGCTTGTCTGCAGAAGCCGCACCGAATATTCCGTTGAGATGCTGTGAATACTGTAAAGATTATGACGAATGTGTGGAAAAGATTCGTATCGTATTGATTCTTTTCTTTCGCTTTTCCTTGCAAATGGGAAGCCCAGTCCGAACCCAAGTTTCTCTTCAGGTAGGCACGCAGATGCATACCACCCCATGTGCCTGCGTGCGCCTACCTACCTTATAAACCTTGAGGTACTTGCTGACCACGTCGGGTACAGAGTACTTGAAGGTATAAAATCAACTAAGGCAGAACGAGTGAACGGCCATGGTATTTACTGTGCCACCTACCTTACCATGACGGAAGACACATGTGTACTTGAGGTAGGTACTGTGTTAAGTAGTAAGTCAGGTAGCTTCCATCGAGAAGAATAAGACAGAAGAGTACGTACCTATTCAAATGTCCGTAGCTGGCATGAAAGACCTGGGCAGCTGGGAAACAGCACGGCAGGTACCTTACTGAGGCAAGCCCGGTTGACAGGAGCAAACAGGGAGGTACTGCGTACACCTCCATTGGGTTTTTTGACTTCCGCTTGCCGAGTTTTAGCGCCTGCCTCCCCGTCTCAAAATGAGCACATGAGCAAGCCTGGTGCAGCGGGTCCTTGTCTGGAGACGACGAGGGGACGACAATGAAAGGCTAACCTGGAGCCATTCGAACTGCGTGTCCCGCCGGTGCTTGGTCCCCACCCCGCCAGAGCTCTGGACTCAGCCTGGACTCTACCTACCTTACATTAGGCACTCTGTAACAAGGTACTCCGTAGACGCGATGAGTTTGTCAACAGAAGATACACACAGCACAGAAGAAAAAGACATTCATTTGATCTGCTCTCTACCCGTTGTCGGCGGGCAGATTTATCGACTTGAGCTGATGACTCTGCCGTTAGTGTTCTGCTGCGTAGCGGCACTCTTCCTGGTCGATCAAGTCCCAGGGTTGGGTGACAAACGTAAGGTACCTACCTACCTTGAACCGTTTACGAATACTTGGGTTCTTTCTCGCGGCTTTGCTGGGCGACCGCATGCTGTAGGTATCTTCTGACCAGAGCTCGTTCATTGCGGGTTGCTCATCACTTATTACCTGTTGTACGACCTTGTCTGGCTCTGTTGTCTTCAACCTGTCTCGAGCAAAAGCAGCGTGCCGTGCGTAGATCATCTCAAGGTTTGACTTGAGTCGAGACTTGACAAAACCATACCCATCTGGCTCTGCAACGCAACAACCCTCAATGCCAAAGTTTGAAAGCTCTTCAGTAATGAAGTGCTGCGGTTTCTCTGTCCGAACCGCACGCAACCTTGAGCTACTTTCCGGCACCTCGAGCATGGCCCCTCTCTGGACCCCGCGTGGCCTGCTCCTTCAAGAACCGTAGTGTACCCTTACGCCCTCGGCGACATGTCCTGGATTGCATCACTTGCTTCGACTAGTAATGTCGTTCCCATTGTGTATGGACAGTTGCATGGCATTCGATATCTTACTGTCTATTCGGGTCAACGTTCAATTTCGAGTGTGGTTGAGGCGATCAAGCTGGGATCTCTTGTTGCCACTTCTGGAAGCTGCTGTAGGTACTTTGTCTGTTGCTTTGTGGGATAGGCCTGACAACCTTGAGGAAGCAGTCTTGCGGGAGTCTATGGAGTTGACAAGCCTGAGAATAGTCTAGTGACTTGCCTGTTTACTTTCTTTTCCAGCTGTCACCGTTGACACCAAATTGTATTGAGCTTGTGCTCTGTTCAGTCATTGAATTGAGCGCAACTCAGGCACTAGGTAGACAGTCAAACTGACAATGAGGGTATCGCGAAGAAGGCGGATGAAGAGAAGGAAGGCCGGGAACCAGAGTCCGCGCAAGATCTACCATGAGGGGCGTCTAATCGTACATGACTTGATAGTAGGATGAAGAGAATTGCCAAACGTAAAGTTGATGGCGTTGTCGTCTCCTGGCAGAGTCGTACTAAAGTAGTCGCGGCAAGTAGCAATGTTGAGGTAAGAGGTAATGAGCTACCCTGCTCTGAACGGCGACGATAGCTTCAGCACCCCAAGACTCAGGCAAAGTCAGTAAGTAAGGTAGGTACCTAGGTAAGGTAGGTAGGTCACCCCCCCCTTGTCCCAGTCACTGGACTTGGGACGCACTCCGTCATTCCTCGTCCAGCTGCGCGCGCTAGTCTGCCCTGCCGTGTGGTCCGCGAGGCCTCGAGCCCAAAAGGCAAAAGACCAAAGAACAAGACCAAGAACGCACAATCCACCCCGGGCTGCGGGCTGCGGGCTGCTGCCCCTCTTTCAAAGTACCTCCCTACCTCTCCCCTACCGTGCCAGGCGTGCCTTCCCTCGTACCTCACGGATACCTTACCTTACCTTACCTTGCCTACTTCCATCCACGTCTCCACCACCGACCACTCCTTCCCACCAACCAACCCACCTCGCGTTTCTCTAAACGGCGTGACAACATCCTCCTTCTCCCACCTCTTGGGTACCCAACCTGAACTTCACCAAACCTCCCACCCCCCCGTGCATTGCTCTTCCTCTTCTCACCTTCAACTGGCATTCCGCCTCGACCTTCGTCGTCTCCAACATACTGCGTAAAGATACCTCAACGCAAAGCTCCCCTCCATCAGCTACCAGCCATTACACCCATCTGTCCTCGAAACCACTTCGGTTCCAAATCTCACGATCCTTCTTCGCCGCCCGAAGAAGCACTGTCTCCCGTCTGCCCACCCGCACCGCACCCGCACCCGCACACCACCACCACCCACCCCAGCAAACCAAAGCTCCCCCAGGGCAGTCATCGCCTCTGCTCCATTTCTTTCTCTCTCTCAACGCACCTTGCCTGTAGCCGCCGGCCGCAACTACTCTGAGAGCACCACGAGAGGAGAGAAAGGTTCAATCTACCATCTTCTTGTCTTCCTACAATCCCGCCTTCGTCAACAATTTCCAGTCATTGTAAGTAATTCTTGCCTTTCTCCCTCTAGCTAGCCCTCCTCCATCCAATTCCTCTCTCACTTCGTGGTCCACGAGGCAGAAACAACACCACCATCATCATCATCCTTGAGCTTGCTTGCTTGCTTGGTCCGCCTGCCCTGCCCCTCAGCGACGTGCTGTGCCGTCATCACCACATTCCCCCTTCCCAGTCCCCTTCCCCCTTCTTCACCACTCGCTTCCACAACGCTGGACCGCAATCCGCCGAATCTTGCCCTGTTTCTCGGCCCGTCATTAGCAGCTCACCTACACGCGAGAGAAGTGGTCTTTGCTGTGTGGTGACCTTAGTTTCCGCCCAAGGTGTTTCTAGGTAAGGTAGCTGCCTCGCTCGCACTACCAGCCTGCACGTACCTGGCATTTTCCCCTCTGCCTGAGCGAAAAATCACCTCACTGCGTGCTGCATGCATAGCGCAGCGCATATACACACAACACTGCCCACCCCCTCTTATCCTCTCTGTCTTGTCCGTCTTCCACGTCCTAAACTTGTCCTGTCCTGGCTTGCTCTGCCCTCCTCTTCCTCCTCTGGCTGCTACCTCACCTCTTCCAATACTTCCGCTTCCTCTGCTCCTCTCCTCGCCTTGCCACCATTCGCCTTGCATCGTCGCCATCATTCATATTCCCCTGCCCTGCCATTTTCTCCCTCTCCCTGTCAAAATACCTCCCCACCCCGCACCCCTCGACCGACCGTCCGTCATCCTCGCTCATCACTGCTCGTCGCACAACACGCTCCATACCCTGCTCCATCGTCAACCTATCAATCACCACCAACTCGTTCGAATCTCACACTGCCAGACGGGCTGCTAATCAACCAAATCATCAGCTCCCTGGAGACTGCTCAACGTCGACTTTGACACAAATCCAGAATTCCCTTAACGGGCAAGACTGAACCGATTCCCGACGCGAATCCGCTACCGGCGCCGCTCTCAATTACAACCTGCCTCGCGACCATACCTGCATCCATTTCTTTGGCTCTCGAAACAAGCGATTGGTTCGTCGGCTCCCTACTTCACCCTCGTGCAATTACCCTTGCACGAATTCCACGCCAGCGAAGCATAGTTCTCGTCCTCCGCTGCCCATCACGGCCCGCCTTCGAGTCTCGGATCCGTTACCCCTCACTCCTCTCGATCTCAACTCGCCCAACATCGGCCAACAATAGCAGGGCTTTGCCGTGCTGACAACACCTTCCGAGCCATGGCGCAGAACCGCCCCGCCGCCTTCAACACTCTCAGAATGGGAGGTAAGCTACAGCTAGTTGGAAAACCAATTCCTTACACTGCCATACTAACGCGACCGCCAGAGGTTATTCGCGAAAAGGTCCAGGACGGGATCACTGGAGAGACAAGAGATCTCCAGTACACGCAATGCAAGATTGTCGGCAACGGCTCTTTTGGTGTCGTCTTCCAGACCAAGCTCTCGCCCTCAGGAGAAGATGCGGCTATCAAGCGTGTCCTCCAGGACAAGCGGTTCAAGGTTCGCCCTGATACCTACCGGCCATGTTTTGCTACGGCATGCTGACTTGTGCAAAGAACCGAGAACTGCAGATCATGCGGATTGTCCGGCATCCCAACATCGTACAGCTGAAGGCGTTTTACTACTCCAACGGCGAACGCGTAAGCATTGCCCTATGCCTGAACCCGAATATATGCTGACACGACACAGAAAGATGAGGTGTATCTCAACCTTGTCCAGGAGTTTGTGCCCGAGACCGTTTACCGTGCGTCCCGTTTCTTCAACAAGATGAAGACGACAATGCCCATTCTCGAGGTCAAGCTTTACATCTATCAGCTCTTCCGCGCCCTCGCCTACATCCATTCTCAAGGGATTTGCCATCGTGATATCAAGCCTCAAAACCTTCTTCTTGACCCTACTTCAGGCATCTTGAAGCTTTGCGATTTCGGTAGCGCCAAGATCTTGGTCGAGAACGAGCCAAATGTGTCGTATATCTGCTCTCGATACTACCGTGCACCAGAACTGATTTTTGGTGCCACAAACTACACTACCAAGATTGGTGAGCTCATTAATACCGTCGGCGAACCCCCAATGCTAACATTTTATGACAGACGTATGGTCTACCGGTTGTGTTATGGCAGAATTGATGCTCGGACAACCCCTCTTCCCTGGAGAGTCCGGCATTGATCAATTAGTCGAGATCATCAAGGTCCTGGGCACTCCAACACGAGAGCAGATTCGCACCATGAACCCCAACTACATGGAACACAAATTCCCACAGATCAAGCCGCACCCCTTCGCCAAGGTCTTTAGGAAGGCAGATGCGAACGCTATTGACTTGATTGCGCGCCTTCTTGAGTACACCCCTACCGAGAGACAAGCGGCGGTGGAAGCCATGGTTCATCCCTTCTTTGATGAGCTGAGAGACCCGAGCACGAGATTGCCCGACTCTCGTCATCAGAGCGGCGAGATTCGAGATCTGCCACCTCTTTTCGACTTCACTCGACATGGTCAGTATTTTTACTCTGAATACGTCTGTTTCATAATGTCTGACAACTTTGATAGAACTATCGATTGCCCCGAACCTGAACCACCAGTTGGTGCCCGCGCACATCAAGCCCGTACTCGCAGGAAGAGGATTGGACATTGACAACTTTACTCCGATCCCAAAGGCCGACATGATGGCCAAATTGGATTGAGCCAGCCGAGGACTTGTCCAGGAACTCAGCGCACTCGTGGATCGTTCCCGACTTATCTCGGCTGCAAGCCTATCGTTCGACCAGCGCACACCGAGATGGAGTTCTTGCATGAAGCGTAGGGGCATCGGCCTCGACCGGACGATGGACCAAATGATGATGAGATGTTACACGTGCGATGACGACTTGAAGCTGGACTGCATCGAATGCTCAAAGCGCAAAGGCTTACTGGCGAGGAATTGCGAGATATCTTGTGCTTCGTCAAGTGTCAGCCCTTCCACTACAGTGTAGAGGAGGTACGACAAGAACTGGGCTATTGGGGTACGCCTACGGATTCCGCAATACATGGCCACCTTTTCATAGGAGGCTGCATTGCTGCGTATTGCAAAAGACGCCATTCTGGACTATATCACGATACAGGATTCGGGATGGCTTTCACTTTGTTCTTCACCTTATTATCGAAAACGCTTCAGGACGCTTTGGCAAACGATTGTCTGGACGGTTCAGCCTCACCTTTCTTCGTCTTCTCGTCACTCAGTATGGTCTGGCAAGACTTCCTCAATTATCAGAACTCGGGAGTGCGTGGAAGATACTACGTACGATTGTGGGGTCAAATCATCTCATGGTTGTTGGTAGAGAAAGGAGGAAGCTCTGGAGTCGGGATGCCCTCTCCTGTTGGTTGGGAGACGTGGGCGGTAGGTCTGGATTGGTATTAGGCATGATTCCGAGGAAAAGATTTTAGCTTTCTCTGTTTATTCATGGCAACGCAACGACGGCGAGCCAAGGAGGTCAATTAAAAGGGTCGGGACTGGCTACTTTGCTCAGACATTGGGAAAGACTGCTGTTATGAATTTGGCTTGGAGTGGCCTAGCAGAACAACTGCAAGGCAATCGACTCTATTCTTCACTCTGGGCTCGTAGGTGGCACTTGCTCGTTTGCATGTGGTGATGTGTTATTCTCGACCGCCAAAAGTAGAAACTTGAAGCCAAGAGACCATTTAGCGAGGTCGGGTGTACAGAAAGGTATTCACGCGACGTAAGGATACGAGTGTGGTACCTAGCGATGGCTCTAGCGGGAACCTGGGTGTGTCCTGTATCTGTATGACTCTGCCTCAGGCCAAAACGCAACGTCTGGTGGTTTTGGCAGGCAGGCAGGGGCCCACTGGGGCCAATGGACGCGGCCTGCACCTACCTTAGTACCTTAACTTACAGTTGCTAGCAGGGGAAGCTCGCGTCTTTCCTCCGTCACTTTTCGACGTGGATCCTGCCTCGAGGCTACGTGCAACTGAAAGATCTCGTCTCCGGTTTACCAATTGACCTTCTCACACACGACATCACTATATCTAACCTTGCTCAATCATCAAATACGCAGCCGGTTGATATGGGCGACTACGAGAGAAGACGTTATCATGGCGGCGGTGGCGGCGGTGGAGGCTACAACAACAGGAAGAGAAGGTATCGAGGTAAGCTTTTCTCCCCATTGTGCACCTTGTCTCTGTTTCAGCGCAATCTCACCAACTGACTCTGGCTACGACAGACGACGATGATAACGATCACCGACAGTCGCGACGAAGGATCGATACTGCGCCCCTCCCTGTGAGAGTGCGAAGACAGCTCCTCTCTCTCGCCGAATCCCCGCTCCGACGCTGGCATGAAGAGGTCCAAAACATCGCGCACGTCGTCGCTGAAAACGCAGAGGACGCCGAACTCCGCGAGAGTTTCGTCAGCCTCGTCTTACAGCTTTCGCTAGAGCAACCGCTCAAGACACCGTTTGTCGCTGGTGTGGTTCTTCTCGTGAACACGCTCAAGCCCGAGATTGTGGATGAAGTTCTCACCAAGCTGAGCGCCGCGACTCAAGAGAAGATTCAAGCGGGTGAATGGAGAGATGTGAAGCTCTATCTCAAGTTGCTTGCGTGCCTACAAAGCTCTTTGGATGGCGAGGGAGTTTTCCCCGTCCTCGAGGAGCTATTTGGCCGAGCGGTAGACTTGCAAACCGCGAGCTCTGATGACGTAGATATTCCTTGTCCTTTGCTACGATTTACCCAAGTTACTGACATCCTTGTAGACCATTGGCACCGAGCTTGTGAAGATTATTCTTCTCACGATTCCGTACATCATGTCAGCAGCGCCCGATCAGTGGCTCCAAAAAGCCGCCGACCTGATGGACAAGACCGAAATCATTGCCTCAGAGCCTCACGCCCTGCAAGTTCTGATCGATCCGTACCTTCCCGAGAAGCAAGACCAGCCTACCGGGTCCATGAGCTTCATCGGCATGCTCCAAAAGCAACTGCAGCATGAAGCGGCCAACGGATGGGAATTATCTTGCCTGCCTAGGCCCTGGAAGCTGCCCCTAGAGGAGATCGAAGCACAAGAGAAGCTGGATAATGCTACAAAGCATACCCTCCCCACCATCACAGTGCCCGAGAAGATTGTCGCTGGATCAAGACCGCTATTCCCTGAAGTCTACTATTCGGTTTATAGCACTCAGGACGTCGAGTCTGTCCCGCCTGTCACGGATATTGCCGCGTCGCTGGTCAGAGATGGCCTGGTTGATACGATCAACATTCTCGCCTTCAACCGCAACGTTACTGCGCGGTATCTTATTGACCTAGATTGCTACTTCTCCGACTCAACTTTCGTCAAGCGTGCAACCCCCTTTGACAGACTTCGAGACGTCGAAACTGGCCGCTCAACGTGGAAGCCCGAGGATGTAGCTGTAGATGCCGTGTTTTCACAACTCTTCCAGCTTCCGCTTCCGGAACACAAGCTTGTTTACTACCACTCAGTCCTGACCGAGGCCTGCAAGATTGCGCCTGCGGCAATTGCTCCCAGCTTGGGTCGAGCAATCCGGCACATGTACCGCAACTCTAGCCGAATCGACCTGGAGCTCTCTCAGAGGTTTGTGGACTGGTTCTCGCATCATTTGAGCAACTTTGGCTTCACCTGGAAGTGGACGGAGTGGGTTGATGACGTCTATCTGCCGGACCTTCACCCTCAGAAGGCATTCATCATTGGCGCTCTGGACAAGGAGATCCGGCTCAGTTTCGCTCAGCGTATCAAAGGCACACTGCCCGAGCCATACCAATCACTGATTGGGCCCGAGAAGGAAAAGGATGTCCCAGACTTCAAGTTTAGTGATGAGAGTAAGTGACGAGCTGCGATAGCGAAAAATTTAGCAGACTGACAGATACGATAGGTACGCCCTTTTCTGCAGAGGGTCGCGAGATCGCTGCTCTGCTGAGACGCAAAGCACCTGACGAAGAGTTCCAGCCGGTTATCGAACGGATCCACTCACTTGCGATAGAGCGCAGTCTGGATCCTTTGGTGACGAGCACCGATGTCTTTGTCACAGCCGTGTGCTGGGTCGGGTCCAAGTCGCTCAGTCACGTACTCGCGTGCATTGAGCGCACCAAGGATCGTCTGCTCGACGTTGGCGCGGCATCCGAGGCGGCTAAGTCCCAAATCATCACTGCAGTCATGTCGTATTGGGCGGCGCAACCCGGTGTTGCCATTTCCATCGTCGAAAAGCTTTTGAACTACTCGATCCTTTTGCCCATTTCGGTCATTGAGTGGGCTCTCTCCGGAGGCAGCCGCGTGCAAGGACAATCTTCGGGCGATTCTTTGGCGCAGCCTCACGTCTTTGAGCTGGTGTTTGGTACCGTGTCCAAGGTGACTGGTCGCGTCAGACAACTCCTGACCAAGGAGGCCGAGGCCGACGAGGATTTGAAGGAGAGAGACACCAAGGCCATGCGCGATCTCTTCAAAGCGATGGAGGATGCGCTAGTTAGCTGGGCTTCAGGCAGCAAGGACGAGATGATGGAGGAGATGGACGGAGCCGGTCAACGCGATGCCCTGCTTCGTCGCTGGGGTGAGCGTTGGCTAAGGGTGTTCCGCCGGAGGTCCGCTATTGAGGAGGCCTTCATTTTAGAGGCGAGCAAGGAGCAAGTTGCTCTTGACAACGCCGTCTGAACCAGCCTGGCTGATACTGACATGACGGGCGATGTCCTTGGTTTTTTAGGCAGCGTGCCTTTAGTATGTATGATTACTTAAAAATGGTTCATGGGTTGGCAATGGACCAGGCGAAAGCCCTGGTGGATATGAGATCAAGGTTTCCGATCTCGACAAGGTAGCTCAAAACAGACACAGATTCTTTCCTAAGGAATTCAATACGCAATGGTGGTTTTAGTAGCCGGAAGAGTGACATGGACAGCGGAAAAGGCCTCAACGTCGTCAATCCACCTTGTGTTTGATTGTGATGGCGGACAAGCCTGTTGCGCAGGGTAGTGAGTCGGTCCCTTACGACTTGATAATTCCTCAAGCCCCTGGGCTCGGAGGTCAGCGGATGCGGGGCATTGTTCAGCCTGGTGGCCCTAGCGTTGGTCCCTTTTTTGCGCTGGAGCCATGATTGGACATGCCTAGCTTGGCGGGGTGGAAGTATCCTGCAAGGCTGACATCAAGCTTGGGGAGAGGAAAAAAAATTGGAAGTGCCCCGTCTATCAACCACCGAACTCCAACATACGGAAAACCAATCGAAGCCACTCTCACTGCCCTCGGACTATTACTTTCTCACGGGGTATCAAGCAGCCATACTGCCCGGTATTTACGAATATTGGGTTCAATTTCGATTCTCACACGGAAGCTTTCAGTCAATCGCAATAAGAAAGATTTTCAGACCCTCGTCGCAATGGAGTCCTCAGTGGCCCAGGTGAAGGTGAACTTCACAACAACGCATGAGGATTTGCAGTTGGACGAGAGCAAGAGGCAGTTGATTGTGCCCGCAGGTATGCACGCCCGACCGGATATTCCGACCCAATGGCTTCCTCCAGACTCTAACCTTTTACAACTCATCTATAGACATCAAGCGATATGGCCTCTCAAGGATATTGAACTCCGAGTCCATGCTCAACACCTCCTCCCCCGTGCCTCTCGACTTCCTCGTCAACGGAACCTACCTACGGACCACGATCGAAGAATACCTCAAGGAGAACGGCCTCTCCTTCGAGACGACGCTCACGTTGCAGTACGTCCGCAGTCTGCTGCCCCCCGTCTACGAGGCATCCTTTGAGCACGACGACTGGGTCGCCGCCGTTGACGTACTCTCTGCCACCTCGGCCGCGGGCCGCTGGTCCGGCGACGCCCTCGCCCACGGCCAAGACCGCATCCTCTCCGCCGGCTACGACGGCCTCGTCCGCATCTGGGACGGCTCCGGCCAGTGCCTCGCGACATCCCCCTCGGCCCGCGCCGGCGGCCACGCCAAGCTCCTGACGGACGCCAAATTCCTCTCGTCGACGCAGATCGCCTCCGTCGGCCTGGACCAGAAGGTCGTCGTCTGGAAGTACGCCGAGTCGGCCGACCGCTTCTCGGGCGAGCTCAAGCCCACGCTAGAGCTCCACGGCCACAAGAAGATGATCAACTCGCTCGCCGTCCACGGCGCCTCCAAGAAGATGCTCACCGCCTCCGCCGACGGCCGCGTCGGCCTCTGGCTGGCCTCGAAAAAGGGCAGCCCGGACGTCGACGCCGACGACATCCCCGCCACCCACGCCAGCAGCGTCAAGCGCGCCAAGCTCTCCAACTCGTCCGTCACCGTCCCGCAAAAGGGCGCCCTGGCCATGATCCAGGCCCACGCCGCCGACGCCTCCGTCACGGGCGCTGCCTTCCACCCCACCGACGCCACCGTCGCCTACTCCGTCTCGGCGGACCACACCCTCCGCACCCTCGACCTCACCACCGCCTCCGTCGTCTCCACCCTCACCACCCTCCACCCGCTCCTCTGCCTCGCGCCCATGCCGCGCAACTCCTCCCTCGTGGCCGCCGGCTCCTCGGCCCGCCACGTCACCCTCCTCGACCCCCGCGCCTCGGCGTCCGCCA